AGTATGAACATTATAAAGGAAAAATATGCTATAAATCTCAGATTTGTACTATATCTTTTATAATTCTTCCATTCTTCCATAATCCTCTGTATTCCTACTAATGGAACAATATTTCCATTTTCCTCAATAATCTTTTATTTAATCTTAAACCATATACCTGGTCTCATCCACCCACCCCAAAATAAGTGGATAATCAAGACTACGGCATCAGATTCTTAAAAAGGCAACCTTGGATTTATGGTGGAAAACAGCACAACACTATTTCACGGGTAATGTCAATTTTGTTCCCTGAAAGTTGCTCAGGCAGAGGTGGGGGGAGCATAACTTGAAAAAAAGCACATAGGAATTGAATAGCAAAACAGATGTTTTGCATGCTGAAAGTCCAAAAATTGCAATGCTGGACTTCTCCAGATTAAGGAAGTTCTTCAGTAGGAAACATATTTCTCTATGACATTTTGGAAAGCAGCCATCAATCAAAGCAGGTGATATTATTGAACAAGAGACCACAACTGTGTTGAGGGACGATTGACAGGACTAGGCAAACCATGCTTTCCAGGGAATGGTCAAGAGAAACACAGAAGCTCCACTCAGGTTGATGCCTTCATTATCACCTGAGGTCTTCCAGAAATCATCTGCATATAGAGATTGGAGGGTTACAACGAATTAGCAGCAATATTTCTGACTCAGTATGAAAGGGTACATGCCATGCAAGGAGCAGAGCATTTGCAGGAATCTCTATGGACATGAGAGAGATACTCTACTTTTGTGATCACATGCAAGAAAATGTTTCTGTCAGATTCATTCTTTTCTTTCCTACTCCTTCCTCCACCAATCACTGGGACAGACTGAATAGTCTGGGACTGTCTAATGCTTCTGGTAATCACTGACTGAACAAAAGGCTATTAGAAATCATAGAACAACCCTGAAATTTTAAAAATGAAAAGTCTGATAGAAGTGTGTTTAATAGATTAAAAATAGCAGGAGTCCAAGAATGGCCTGTCCTTAATACTTGAAAACCACTAGCAGAACTGTCTACTCAATCATCTCAGTGAAAGACGCCTCAGTGTTAAAATCAAAAACTGGATTCAGACCTCAAGCTATGCCATAGTTTGTTTAAACAGGTTTGGTGGATAAACCCCAATTGAACAAATCAACACATTAAGCCATAAACCGGGGTTGGCAAATGTGATCGCAGATCCACACAACTTACTAGGTCAAAACGAAAAGCCATGTTATGGCTTCAAACCAATGTTCTCACACTTTGCGAGGCCATGACTCTGTAAAAGGGTAAATAAATTTGTGTGAAAAGTCCCCATGAAGAAGACAAATGATTTCACTGGGGTTGGGACTGGGCAAGAAACAGAGCACGTATTTTTAATTCTTAAACTTTAATCTATAATCTGGAGCCCTCCGGATGTCTCCCAACTGCAACTCCAAGGTGAAGGATGTTAGGCACCGCAGCTCAGCGCCATCAGAATCTCCCTGTTGCACCTCTTGATAGATCCTGTCTCTGATTGGGTTAATCTGTATTTAGTCTCCCTGAAATTGGCTTACCTGCTCACTCAGACATAGAGTAGGGTATCCACTGTCATCAGGCTGTCTTGGAAAGGGACACTCCCATTTCCAAGGAAGACACATTCCTTTTCTGCTCCCATCCTCTTTCCTCCATCGCCTCTGCTCAAACTTTCAAACCTGCTATTGGATGCAAGAGTGGAACCACCACACGATTCCTCGCTTGCCCTGCAAACAAGATGCTGGGGGCAAGCACACTAGATACTGGAGGTAGGGTAGTGTAAGTAGATCAAACACAGTAGGCAGAGAGAGTAGCTGGAGCCTCGTCATACAGTTCTGCTCTGACGGGATCAGCTTTTGCATGTGCAAACCCAAAAAGAAAAAAAAGGCCACTCTTCTCAGATCGGCTCACGACCCCCTAGGATTTGTAACCCATAGTCTTAGTGTAGTATGTGAACCAGGACTTACTTTCTGAATGCGTACAAGTAAGAACTAGTCTCTCGCACACATCTCTTGAATTTCTACACAACTCAATTTTATGGATACCTTTGCTCTAAGGTCAGGACATCCTGCTGTGTCTCTGACTCATAAGCATTTGGGTGATCTGACCCCAGGGAGGCTAATTACCAATTAACACGCCCAGAACTATGATTTATGAGGAGCTACCATAGAGAGAAGCCTCTTAGAGTAGTTGTGGCTCCACTGGTTGTACACCTCTGCAACTGAGTGATTCTGTTGCATCCAGGCCAGACACACTGAATTATGCACTGCGAGTTGAGGCTGATTGGAAAGAGTCTAGTCAAGAATAGGGATTCATGCAGAGACACAGCAGGGAAGTCTCCTCTTGCAGGAGGGGCATATTTAGGACTCACTTATGCTTTTCCTTTCTATGTTAATTTGTTTCTCATCACGCCCTGGTAATCCTCACAGTTTGGGGATTTCTGGATCATGACTATGTCCTCCCAGATGTATTTTTTGTAAAGAAGATTCCAAGGAGATCCTAAGTGTTTTGCTCATCTAGCTGAAGCAACTCCATTTAAAGGCGTTCAAGGCAGAACTAGTTCTGACATGCGCAGTTGCCTCTATTCACTGTGTCAGGGAAGGAAGGAAGGAAGGAAGG